CAAAACCAGGTAAGAAACGCGGGCGGGGCGGGGGGATCCTTCGGCGTTCCCGGAAGGTACTTACTTCCGGGGTCGCCGACCAACTGGTTCGCGGGGACCGCCGCAAACCGCCTGAAACCCACCCCTCACACACACACACACACACACACACACACACACACACACACAATATATGAATCAGTGGTGGGATTCAAATAATTTAACAACCGGTTCTCTGCCCTAATGATTTCTTCCAAAAACCAGTTCACCGAATTTTAAATACTAAAGCACTGAGGGTTCTTTTTTAACAGCTTTATTGTAACAGAACTCTTTGACAGAACAAGAAGAACAAGAACAACGCCCGCCTGACAGCTATTTATACTTGACAGCTGTCAGGCGGAGAACCAATCAGGGAGGCGCAACTCTCCCACCGGCCGGCAGCCGCGCCAGAGCCAATCAGCTCTTCTTCCTGCTCTGGCCACGGCTGTCGGCCGCGTCGGGAGGACGCAACACCTAACTACTCAGAAAGTTAACAACCGGTTCTGCCGAAGTGGTACGAACTGGCTGAATCCCACCACTGATATTAATCCACCCAATTGTGGGTTACTTGACATCGATTAGACACGTATATGAACGTAAGGAAGTCAATGCTGGTTTATTAATTGAGCCTCAGCTTGGATAGTGAAAGGGACGCGGTGGCTCAGTGGCTAAAACACTGAGCTTGTCGATCAGAAAGGTCGGCAGTTCGGCAGTTCGAATCCCTCGTGCCGCGTAATGGAGTGAGCCCCCATTATTTGTCCCAGCTTCTGCCAACCTAGCAGTTCGAAAGTGTGTAAAATGCAAGTAGAAAAACAGGGACCACCTTTGGTGGGAAGGTAACAGCGTTCCATGTGCCTTCGGCGTTTAGTCATGTTGGCCACATGACCACGGAGACGTCTTCGGTCAGGGCTGGCTCTTCGGCTTTGAAACGGAGATGAGCATCGCCCCCTAGAGTAAGGAACGACTAGCACATACAGTATGTGCAAGGGGAACCTTTACCATTTACCTGGTTAGTGGACATCAGAAACAGTCAAAAATTAGGATCAGGAGTGTCATTCTTTCTTTAAATAAATAAATTTAAATAAATTTTAAAAAAAACCAAGGTGGGACCCGGCTACTCAGCTAGCTGAGTCTTAGATTCTGTGTTCATTGTAGATAAAGAATACTTTACAATATATTTTTTTTAAAAAAAAGAACCTGCACATTTGGTGGTTTCCAAGACTACCAGAACATTGAGTGTTATTGAGTTTCAGTTGTGTGTGTGTGTGTGTGTGTGTAGATATGCTTGGAGAGAAACTGGTTAAATCCTTGAATAGCTAAGGATGTATAGCAGCTTGAGGGGGAAGGGAGCGAGGGTGTATTTTATACTTTTATTTATGTTGAGGAAAAGCAAAGGGAATCTGAGTTACGGTACATACGGGGAGCAGAATGTATAATAAATGTGAGCTTCCTCCAGCTTCAAATGTTCTTTTATTCATTTCTCTCTCTCTCTTTTTTTTTTTAAGAGGGTGGGACTTGCCTCCTTCGCACACCGGTCTGGGATTATATCTATCGCTCATCCAAAATTATTTACTCTGTCAAATGCCTTGGTGCCCAAAGCTAGTGAAATCAAAGCCTCCTGCGTGGTTTAAGCTGATCCCCCCATCTGCTCCGTTCCTTCAAACGCAACAGTTAATACAAATTCTCTGCCCATCCGGCACACTCTCTCTTCTTCTCCTCTGCTTTTACGAGGAGGAAGCCGCAGGAATCTGTTCTGCCCGTCGCATCTTTTGCTGAATACTTTCCGCTTTTCTTCCAGGTGATTAACAACTATCTGGATGGGGCTCAGCCTGGGGCTCAGTCAGAAAATCCAACGCCGTCGCCCGGAGGGATGCATTTCCGAGACAGCAAGAGGAAAGTGGACTACGTCTTAGTCTACCACTACCGCAAACATTCCTCGGACAATGGTGGTGAGAGTCAAGGCCCCGTACATAGGCCGGGCTCTTTGGCGATTATTTCTAATGGGGAGACCGCCAAAAGCCAGCAGAAACAACAGGAAGGATCTACTCCAGAAGCCCAGGTGATTGATGTCGCCCCACAGGACGCTTTGGAGGTTGCAAAAGAGGAACAGAGGGAGGAGTTTGAACGCAACTTGTTGGAAGCTGGTTTGGAGTTAGAAAAGGAAGTGGAGGTAAGAGAAACTCAACAGCGCGGGTCCGGTTGTCTCCTCATTGACAATTTCTTTGCTGCTGTTTGTACAGTCAAAGTGACTTACGCACATAATTGTCCTGCTGTAGCCATATAGCAATAGCACCAGTGGTGGGATTCAAATAATTTTACCAAGCAGTTCTCTGCCCTAATGTCCAGCTGGGTAGGCGGGGCTCGGTGTTCATGTGATCATGTGGGTGTGGCCAAGTCAATGTCACTCAGGTTGATGGGCACTTCGCTTTAGTTGTTACAATGGTAATAAGGGTTAACCGGAGAGGCAGTTTCTGTAAGCAGGGCAATAAAGATTAGGGTAGAAACAACCCCAGAATGTTTCCTTCCTGCCTTCCTTACAGGATTAGCCCAGTAAAGAGCCAAGGTGGT